GTGAAGCCCAACCTTGTGTTTACGATGGAATGATATTATCGTTAGAAATTTCACTTTTGCAAGGTAATGTACAAGAGGTCAAACATAGCGCCGAGTGGCAAAAACAGCGCTGGATGGAGTGAAAACAGCGCTGGATGGAAAGCATTCAATCAAAACGGTTTGACTCTCTCCGCTGTGTATACATATAGGTGGATCAGTGCCTGTCAAAAGATGTCATGTGTGGCATAAGTGTGGCCTATTCTGAGCCGTGTTAGAGTGACTTCGGTGAATCTGTTGAGTTTTTGTAGGATAAGTTCCCTTAGTTAAGGTTTCACAATGCGGAGATCGTTTAGACCTCGTTGTCCCATTAAGTTTGCCAGTTGTTGCGTAGCCCTCTACGTACAACAGGTTTTATTTGTACACCCGGGACAAAGGTTCTCTCTTTGGTTTGCCGACCAGCAGCTCCTCCAGCTACCTGTGCATTCTTGTCTACTCTCCAGTGCCCGCAATCCCAGAATGACCTTGAACCCAGCAAATAGCAATAGAAAGCTTTATGCTAGAGGCTGCATAGGTTTAAATAGCGACCTTTTTGAAGGTGGGGTTCTTGCTGTACTTGCCACAAGACAGGGCCTTCACAACACCTAAAGTATGTGTGTACACTATGGACTTTTGTGTCTTGTGTTGTATATTGTGTTGTATATTAAGCAGGATACCGTTGGCTTCCACCGTCAAAATTCTGGTATGTATGCATGGTTCTGGTGTCTGAGAATTTTTGTCCGTAGGCTGGAGAGAATACAGATGTTTGAGACTTTAAGCCATCAGAGAAGAATGCGACTGAACAATATTTGTGTTCAACCAAGAGCAAAGAAATCTTGCTCAATAAATGCACTAGAACAATTTTTTCAAACCTTTTAAAGACCAGTCACAAGTGACTGGACACTGCTAGAAAGGGATGTGATTGGCTAGGTCACTTTCCTGTAAGTCATTGAAAAGAATTCTAAGTTTTTTACTGCAAGTCTTACTGCCAATATAAACGGTGAGGCAATAGGACAGTTTAGGTATAAATGAGTGGGGTACACATCATTCGTAAGTGTTTGCATGGGTGCTGCTTAAGAGACATAATTCCAACTCCATAATTGATACGTGCGCTGATAGTCCAGTGGCCACTGATCTGACTCTGCATAAAGGCTGTGGATATAGCTGGTACGGAAGGCACCAAGTGCCAGCCGGATACCTGGACGTGCGGACCGAGATTCAACTCAACATCACCGCAAAGCATCAACCACATTGCAAGGTACCGAAACTTATGCATGAAAAAAAAACGAAAGCGCTTGCTACGATACGTCATCAACTTTTGCTTTCAGCAAACATACATCACTTATGAGACATGGAGCTGGCATTAAACACATTATTCTGCAAATCGTAATTTCGCAATTACCACTAACCTATAGCAACAGAAGAATCGTTAGCAGCATGTTGGCGAGTGTGGCGGCTCCAAATACCACGTAGCCAACATGCCGCTCGGTTAAAAATGTTCATTCGTGTCACCTGGGTGTCGGCGACCCATGTTGATGCGACGTCTGTCCTCATTGATAGTCGCATTCCTGTGTGGCTTGGCACTGATTATCGTCGGAAGTTTCTGCGTTTCACGTATCGCTGGCGCTATTTTTGGTGATCCTATTGAAGAAGGCACGCCGCAAGCGTGTCTCATCACTGGCGTCCATCCAAACTACAGCTATACGTAGATTCAACAGTGCCAGAAACGTGCAGATTGTTATGATTGACCTGCTGGCCTTGACGCCGGTTGAACGCATGAGACATTGTGGCTGAGCCTACCCTCATTTTTCCGAGTTATCGCTCCCAGAGATTCACCTAGAGCGGCGGCAACAGAGAAATCATTCTTGTAGTTATCCCAGGTTGTAGGCGCCCCTCGTCAAACCCTTTTGACACGCCTGACCGACTGATGGATTAGGAAGAGTTGTTGGCCGTCGAGGCGGCGTGCTTTGTCGTCAAGGTGCCCCGGGCAAAGAGCTCAGCGTCTCACAAACGTCTGCGGATGCATATGCCACGTTCTCCGAGGCGCCTTGACGGCGCTGTTCCCACAATTTGTGGTCTGCTTGGCGCCACATAGGCATCACTGCAACAGACTGCGAAATTGACTTCCACGTAAGAATCGACGTATTCGTGTTGTGCTTTGTCATGCGCGGTGTGCAGTGTTTTCTCCCTCGCCATGAGCTAAACTTGGCGTGCCTCTTCCTCCTTTCGTGGGTTAGGAAAGAGGCGGCGTTTCACCTTTACCTTTCGGGGGCGAAGATGAATAAGGCAATTTTCATTGGACTGTTCTGGCCTCCATTGTTTTCCTGCAGGTAATCCTGGGAAGCACCGGACATAAAGTGCGAAGACTGAGGCGCTCGTGACAAGCTCTCACAAGCTCCCAGAAGCTCCCATCGTGCTTCCATCGAGAACTTCCTTGATGCTGCCTCTATCATGTAACACGCTACCTGTAAATATTGTAATTAAAAGTTACTGTTAACAGCTCCGAACTCCTGTGTCGACATTTCCCTGTAACTATGGCTGGCTCCGGTCCACTGGGCAGAACCCCGACTCCATCAAGACATAGAAGAAGCGTTAGCTGCGTGTCTGCGAGAGTGCCGGTTTCAAATACCACAGAAGAGCATCAGAATCCGAATGTCTGTGGCTTCACCAGTAGACGACAAAGATGTCATATAGTCTTGAAGACGTATTGCCTAGCGAGCTCGACGATTCACCATCCGGGGTGGACTCGTGTACTATCGCAACTACAATTCTAATGGCCGCAAGTAGTTGCTGCTGATTCTTCACTACCTACGTCTGCTTCTTTTCACGTGGATGTCCATAGTGGCCACGCCGGTGTATTGATAACCTATGCGCGCCTTCAACTGCAATATTACTGGCATGGAATGTACCACTTTTCCGACAGTACTCACATTCGTGCTCCAAGTTTCAATACAGGAAGAGTCAATCGCGCATAGCCAACGGACAACTGCAGCAGTCGCCTTGCCCCTGCTGGTCTTTCAACTTTGTTGGAATTGACTGGTACGGTCAGCTTCCCTAAGCACTTTAGGGGAGTTGCTGGCTTATCATCACTATTGATCATATAAAATGATATGCTGAAACTACCACGCTGCCTGAGGCACATCACGTGGAGTACGCTTATTACTCATTCACAAAACACAAGCTTGTACTCCGCTGCAGCATGTCTCGTTAGGTATATACTTAGTGACAATGCACGTGCATTCCTCTACAAGGCAGTAAATGTTCTTGATAAATGTAATATAGCACATCGGACCACCAGCGTGTACCATCCGCGAACCAGCAAAAAGACAGTGTGCCTCAATCGTGCACCGGGTGACATGCTGTCCATGTGCTTGTTCACTGGCTACCCCAAAAAGGACTGCATATTACCCTTGGTTACTTACGCTTGTAATAGCACCGCTTAGTCTACGACTGGATTCTATCCGTTCTTCCTTTCTATCTGTTCTTCCGGGCACAAAACTCTGTCATTTATGGATACCATTTTTTGTTTCGCCCGAACGCATCGGCATTCACAACTCTTTGGGAAGTCGCCGCTTATTCTGAGGAATGTAGGTAACTCGCGCGTTCTACCGCGCAAAATATATTGTAAAAATTTAGCGCAACCTTTACTTGGCCGAACACTCACACATCCACCCGAGTTATGCACACACCACTCAGCGCTCACTACTAACTGCTTATTGCTCCTAAATACCGAGAGATGCCTTACCGAGATATGCATTACCGAGATATGCCTCAATGACTGGCTTAGGGTGCATGCGCTAAAGGTAAAGAAAAACCAGGATAAGTATGCACACCTTGTGTCACATATTGCCGTATGTGGGTGTGAACCACGATTCACAGATACAAAGGTTTTTGGGAAGAAGCTTGAATTTATCTGTACGTCGGCTGTTGAAAGCATATTTTATTCAAAACAAAAATAAGGATATCTGGGTCAGCGAGTCATGTTTGGTGTTGCATCAACAAGGAAGATCTTTTCTCGAAGCAAGGCTTTAGTCATTCTGGCTGGTTTATCTGCTTTTCGTGTTCACCTTTTTTTGCTTGTTACTTTTTGTGGGGCGGCGCTATATACCTCACACGCTGAAGGCTTTCCACATGCGCAGTTCTGTTAATTATTGCATTTGTGCATTACTCTGTACGTATATAACAAGGTTATTTAGAAGCAATAAACAGTTGCTAGTGAGCTGTATGTCGTGTTTGCTAATCGGGTTGATGTGGATGTGTTTGTGCAAGTATTTGCGAGAGTCAAGCTTGCGCTAAATTATTCCACTATGAATGATAACCAACTAGCCCAACAACTAGTTTCAATGAGCGCACAAGATGAAGCTCATCAAATTTACCATCACGTCGAAAATCTGCTTACCATATCATAATGTCCAGAAATGTTGGCATGGCTTTGCGTTCCCTTATCTTCTCAATTACTTTACAGAAAGCTACTGCCGAAATACGAAGGCTCATGCCGAGTCCCAAGTGAAGCGTCCTGAGTCAGCTATATATTTGAGCCGGTTCAAGCATTGACGGGCCGACGCCATCGCGGTCGCGAGAGTCTTCACATCAATCGTATAAAGCAGCTCTACAATCCACCCGTTGTACCCATGCCGTAGGTCACCAGGGTGGCTCCTTTTCTGCGGGGGAGTGATTTGCGGCATGGATGTAGGGCACAGGCAGGAGCACTAGCGAATGAAGAGAATGAACACTCTTTCACAGCTAACGCTTCGCTCGATTTACCGTAATTTTCTCTAAACATGTTTCCGGCTCAACGTCAAACCGGTGCAATAAAATTAAGGTTGCCCAGAATACCTAAATACCATGTTGATGCCGCAAATAATAGACATTCAAAACGTTTATGGAATTAAAAACTACCAGGATTATCAAAAGTTGCCATGAGAAGGCAACTAGATGGCTAACGTTTTTTACGTAATTATCTTAACTAGGTGCAACCAACTCACATGATTCATCCATGTCGTGATGCGGTATACGTTCGCATGGTCCATTTAGACGCACGAGGAGCGAGTTTAAGACTGCCACAGGCACACCGTCAACAGCGCTCCGAGGAGGTACCCTCCGCTGGCCGCCATCGAAGCCCCTCGGCGCTGCGCAGCCTCTGAATAGCAGCTTGTGGCGATATCGCTTCAGAGCGCGATGGGCGATGTCACAGCCTCCAGAAGGCCCGGCGAACACAAAGTCGAATGTATTGGGGTTCAGCAAGATTAAATGGTCGCTGGTGGTCTGGTTCATGGGGCGGGGCCATGCCTCACCCCGGCTTGGGGAAACCTGCCAAAGCAAGGACGAAAAAGATTTACGCTATTGGTGCATTCTGTATTATAAATTGAAAAAAGGTACGTGTTATTCTTCTCATGAACTACCTGTATGCGGCTATAGTATAACGTGAGGCTATAACATGATAGTAATAAGCGTGTGTGTTCCGCCTTTGTAGTAGCCACTCAGAGGCTCTGCACTCTTAGAACTTGAAAATACAGGAAATAAGATAATATAAAATATGGACAAAAATGAATTGTTCTGACTACTACTACAGTGACAAGAGTTTTAAAGCTTACCACCCACAAACGGCTGACTTGCGTATGTCTCTTGCGACGCTGTGGCAGTTCTGCATCGGTCACACAAAGAACCACCAGTAGTACATGCGATAGTTTCACGGCGAGAATAAACCGGGGACTTGTCATTGGGATCGCACAAGCCAGATGGACACCTGTATGACCAAAACAAAAATGAAAAACTTGCACGCTCTTTTACTGGTATATGCATTACGGAAAAATTACGAGCTCAGCGCACAATCACGAAGCGTGCACGAAACATGCCGCATAGGTGTAGTATTAGCTGGAGTAGCAGCTGCACAAGAACCAGTTGTCAAGTGTTGAAAGGCGCCCCGCCGCGGTAGTCTAGTGGCTAAGGTAATTGGCTGCTGACCCGCAGGTCGCGTGTTCAAATCCCGGCTGTGGCCGCTGCATTTCCGACAGAGGCGAAAATGTTGTAGGCCCGTGTGCTCAGATGTGGGTGCACGTTCAAGAACCCCAGGTGGTCGAAATTTTCGGAGCCATCCACTACGGCGTCTCTCATAATGATATGGTGGTTTTGGAACGTTAAACCCTACATATCAGTTGAGTGTTGAAAGGCGAGAACTGCAAATACCTAATATTGCCCCGTCGCTGTGATCTAGTGGCTAAGGTACACGGCTGCTCACCCGCAGTTTGCGGGATCGAATGCCGGCTGCGGCGACTGCATTTTCGATGGCGGCAAAATGCTGTAGGTTTGTGTGCTCAGATTTAAGTGCACGTTGAAGAGCCCTCCACTATGGCATCTCTCATATAAATGAGGTGATTTTGGGACGTTAAACCCCCTTATCGATCAATCAAATACTCAATATTGAATGCAATGTCTTACCAGGCACGCATTTATCAAAATGCAGTCCACCTATATGTAGCGCCTTTATCGGATGTGCCTTATGTTCCAAAAAGCACGCGGCGTAGAACGTGCATTCCGACATGAGCTACACATTCGTTTGCAAACACGTTAACCAAACATCAGGTAGTAGTATTTCAAACAAAAGTCAAGAACTTTTGAAACAAAGACCGAAAAATTTCGGGACTCTTTCTTGCAACTGCGCTTATCCAGGTCATGTGCGTTTGTACTTTTACAAAAGAAAAAAATGAAAGAAAGAAACATTGCTCGTGCGATTAGGGTGGATCAGTAGCAAGGAACAAAAAACATTTATACAGCAATGCAGCCGAGTATATAAGGAGGCTAGCGATAAGCAGAGGGAGCATTGCGCATGCACTTTGGTTGACGTTCAGGCATTGCATCTTTCCTTCTTTAAAAAAACAAACAGGTGTTGCAGGGCGTTTTTGCTTGCAAACGATGATAGCTGTGCTAGTTATTAAATTCTGGGCAGTGGGAACGTTGCGGCTCTCGACGTGTGCGCTCACTTCATCAAAGAAAGCTTTGTTGGGCGACTGTTGGTGCTGCTTGGGTTTCTGCAGGCGACTCAGGGACAGGTTTCGCAGCTTCGGTGGCTCAAAGGTGTTCTGTTGTGCGGTGTCGCTGCTTCCCATTGTCTGTAGCCACCCTGTGAGACCACGTTGGCCCGGCAGAACAAACAGCCATAGCTGGAGCCCGCCTTCTACTGTGTATGTCCTATACGGACACTCAGTTCTCACTTAAAGGTCTGGCTCATCCCGTGTCGTTTTGTTCTAGTAGAAACACTGTTTGTCGTACTCCTTGCGGGCAGTGATGAACGTTTCCTGTGAGGAACACCTTCGGCTCTAAGTGAAAGACGAGTACCGGGACTTGACTTCTGTTGTGACGTTCCATGAGCCTTTGAGCTAGTGATTGTAGCCACTCGTCCCTCGTAGTGCTCCGCACTTCCAGCAAGCACTGTAATATTCAAGGGTGGAAAACAGGCATTTGTTAAGCAGGTGCTTAGCTTCCTTAACATTGCATTCTGCTAAGCCGTTGTGGCGTGGAGAGTGGGAGCTCTAATTGATGCGGTTGATGTTAAAATTGCTTGTGAAAGCATGGAAGGCTGCACTGTTGAAAGGCGCCATTGTCACTCATTCAGGTTCCCTGGAGTGCCATGTGTCGCGAAAATTTCTGCACTTGCAATAATTGCAGTAGCCTCGATACCACGAATAAGCTTGCGATCTTCAAAGCAAAACGACTTGAATTTGAACACTATATGGTATTCGTCACCTTCATGGTAAAAAGATCTGTCCCGACATCTTGCCATGGCAGAGTTGATAGCCCGGGGCCGAGCATGGGAGCCTTGCATTCGTTTGTTTCTACTTGTCGCAAACATTACGTGACTTTGCTACACCTGAAATGTTGTATTTATGTTCGGCCAGTACAGTACCTGTCGTGCCCTTGCCTTCGTTTCATCTTCGCCGCATCGTGCAGCGTTTAGTAGGCTAGGAAAGTTTCGGCGTTTCACTGGCAAAAGGCTAGCTTTTTGTTTCTGAGAAGCAACTCATCTGATACGTGTATCACGTCGCGGAAGCTCTACATTGACTTTAGGGCGTTCGGAAGCTGCTGCTTACTTTGGGGGCTATTTTGTACTTGCGTAATTGCAGTGATCGGTCTGTGATTTCATGCTGAGCTGCTGTGGATCTTCAAGGAGAATTACTCGCCAAAAGCTTTACGCAGTAACGAGAGTGGAAAAATATTCGGCTCCTTGCAGCCGCGGTTGTAAACCTTCCGAAGTTGGCATATACTAAAGCTCTCGCAATGTCACCTTGTGAACATGAAAGGTCCAAGCATGTGCATACATTTCCATTCTTCAGTATATGGCGGGACCACGAACACGGTTCTTTCAACTTTTTGTTGACGCCGTCACGTTCTATCTCGTCTAGCTTTGGTTTCACTGGTTCTTGAAGGGCGATAGCAATTCTCCTTGCTGGTTCGGTGGTCGGTCGTACATCAGAATTACAGAGCAGGTGATAGGTGACGACGGCGCGTTGTCCTAGGCCCTGCAAACCATCATCGGAGCCAGATACTAAGATGTCATGATTCGGCGTTGACTGCATCCATGCGTTGTACTACAGTGTCTTGAAGTATACTGCCTAGTGTGCTGAGCCCGCGCATTCCGTACGAGAGAGCGTGGCCACGCATGTGATGACTGCACTCAGATGCCACAAGCAGCGCTGCGTGTCGAGAGGGTGCACGAATGCGCGAAATTCCTCTCGTCCTGTTGCTGCTGGGACCTTGCCACGTTTAAAATCAGTATGTGACAGGTGCCATATGATTTGCTGTGAAGTTAGACGGCGCCGTATGTACACTGCAATACCCTGAGATGTTGAAAGGTAAGCGGTGATTCAGAGAAAGGGCGTGTATTGTGCCGCTGTGTAAAAGAAGTTATCGGTCTGACAAGGGAAAGGTGTCTTGTTTCCCGCACTAACGGATCCAGCACGGTTTCCTTAATGAAAAAGTATGTTGAAGAGGGCAGGCAAAAGGCTGAAACCGAAGGCTGTCGCGTGATAAAAGCAATCTGAGAGTGACTTCATAGAACTATCTTTTCAAATTAGGGTGAACGGTATCGGGAATGAAATCGCTGTTTAGGCAAAATGTCAAATATTAATATTTATCTAAAAAATTGAAAATACCCTAACTGAATTTCATTCACACAGTTTCACTGCCATGTCAACGTCGTACTCCCTTTCCATCAAAGTTTTGGGTATCATATGCAGCGAGTGTAAGATTATTCATTGGCATGTTATCATTCTTTGTTTTCACTCAAATCCTAATGGAATGCAGGCTATGAAATAAAGGTTTCAAGGTCTTTTGAGATAATTCTTGCTCTCAAGAACAAAGCACATTTAAAAACTTACTCTGGGGGTTATACCGTCAATGGTCTTTAAAATTAATTTCTTTGCGTACTGCAACCCCTTTGAGCATGCATCTATCTATCTATCTATCTATCTATCTATCTATCTATCTATCTATCTATCTATCTATCTATCTATCTATCTATCTATCTATCTATCTATCTATCTATCTATCTATCTATCTATCTATCTCTATCTATCAATGTATCTATCTATCTATCTGTCTATCTATCTATCTATCTATCTATCTATCTATCTATCTATTTATTTATCTTTCTATCTATCCATCTATCCATCTGTCCGGCCGTCCATCTGTCCATCCTTCCATCCATCTGTTCATCCGTCCGTCTGTCCATCTGTCCATCCATTCGTCCGCCTGTCAATCCGTCCGTCCTTCCGTCTCTCTGTCTGTCTGTCTGTCTGTCTGTGTCTATCTGTCTGTCTATCTGTGTGTCTGTCTGTTCGTCCGTCTATCCGTCCATTCATCTGTCTGTCCGTCCGTCTGTCTGCCTGTCCATCTGACTATCTGTCTGTTCGTTCATTTGTCTGCCTGTCCGTCCGTCTGTCTGTTCGTCCGTATGTCTGTCAGTCCGCGTATCCATATCCAACCTAAATTCTTGTTTTTGCTTTCTCAAAATAGATTTAACATTGATGTAGCGCAGTACCTTCTTCCGCGACCTTTCCAGAACGTACAAAGGGACTACGACGGCAACTTTACAATCTCCAAATCTCGTGTGAACACATACGCACACTCTTATTTTTTCGAGAACCATAAAAGACTGTAAAAAATTGTGAAACGTGAAAAAATTTCAATTCAAAACTACAGATTATTTCGTTAGTATACCGTCATGAATGCTACCTACTTTTTTTTCAGTTTCATTGAATTTATTGAAACACAGAAATTCCGTGTGAAAAGTAGAAATTATTATTGTGATGCTTAATGTTCTGCAGTGAATTGTGTATGGGTAATGTTTTGGTAGAGCAAAATATTGTGATGAAACGTTTTTGTTTTTTCTCACCTATGAATTGCTTCTTTAGGCTTGACATGACAGTTTTTATGTCAGGTTTTGTTCACTGTTTATATGCAATGACAGATTGTGGTTTTTAGGTTTTTCGTATAGGATGTTATTTCTTATTTCATGTAAAATTGATTAGATTTATGCCCCACTCCTATAACGGCCCAATCAACCAACAGGTCCTAGAAAAAATTAAGAAATAAAGTTATAGAATAAGAAATTTTGTACAATATTTTAAATTTTCCCTTTATGTGTCGAAAAGTTCGTGTTGACAATGAATACGCTTGCGAATATTGTGTATCTTTTTTACGGCTGTTCAGTGAGATGGTGCTTTTTCTACATAGCAAGGTTATTTCCGA